AACCACCTGCCCAGCCCAACTTTGTCCAACAACCAAAGAACAAGAACAAAAGGAAGCTTAGATGGGGCCCAGACGATCGCAGGAACCGCCAGAAGCTGCAGCCACCGATACCAGCTTGCCCCACATGTGGACGACTGTAATACCCCGTTTCATTTTGGATTATTAGAGAATAATTATTGATTATTGCTATTATTCAATTGTCTTTATTATTATTATTATCATTATAATTATTATTATTATAATTGCTATTAACTGTCAAATTGCTATTATTTATTTATTATTAGTAATATTGCTATTATTAATATTAATTGTCTTAAATATTATTAATTGTCAAATTGTAACTATTTGTCTAAATGCATAATTTTAGCATTAATATTATTATTTTAAAATATTGTGTGTATTATAAATATAGATATTCCGTATTAATTTATTACTCGTCGTCGATCAAATATCTCGAGAATTCTTGTATTGCGTATATTTTATTTTGGCCCGAAGCGATTTAATTCATTGGCCTTTTGCCATTCTATATCCAGCCCAATGTAATTAATTTCTTGACCCAACTCTTTATTGGTTTTGGCCCAAGTTGAGATATTTATCTTTGGCCCATTTCTTGGCCCAATCCTCCTTTATTATGCGATCAAGTTTGAGCAGAAAAAGATATTTTCCTTCTCCTTCTTCGCATAGACCAAGTCGTCCGCTCAATTTCAGGTACCGATTTTGTGGGAGATATTCTTGGCACGATCACGCGATGATCATCTCCTCACCCTCCTTAATCTGACCGTTCTCACCTTATCCCTCTCTTCTACTTATACTGTGCGAACCTCGATCAGTACCCCAATCCCCAATTCTCTCGCAGTAAAAAAAAAAAATGATTTTTGGTACCTGCTCCGCCAATAAGCCTCCTCGCCATTGTCGCCGGCGATTACCACCTTGCTCCGTTGCAGCACCTACTCCCGGCGTCCGTTCGTGAACCACAGTCGCCGTCCCGTTGCGATCCACAGCCGTGCTCCTCTGTCCGTTGTTGCTCCTTCTCGAGAACCCCGTTCGAGCACCGCGTCCTCCCCGTTCGTCCGGATCTCCGGCAGTCGTTTCGCCGGCCGTTATTGACGTCAGCATCGTCTTCCACTCACGAGCAGACACCCCGGGTCCTATTCGTTGGAGTTACTGTCCGAGTCCCAAAAGTCGTTCGTCCGACCCGTTGTCGGGCCTGTTTCCCGTTCAATCACTCGTACGTTCCCGAAGACGGGTAACTTATTCAAATCCTCTCTTTATTGCGATTGTTTTCATATATCGCATGTTATATATATATATATTGTGTTCGATCTACCGAAAGTTGATTTGAATTCGGATTTCTTTTGGTTCGTTTAATTATTCGTATGCTCGTGAATTTATCGGAACTCTCGTTTATCGTATAAATCGAGTCTTATTTGCTGTAGCTAGTCTCGTCGCCACTGTGTGAAAGTTTTGAGTGATTCAAAGTCTCGATATTATTGTTTCGAATTGTCGTTATGTCGTTCGTTAGTTTTTAAAACCGTGTATTGCTGTTTCATTTTTTCGAACCAATAAAACTTCTTGTTATAAGATTTCAAAACTCAGAAAATTTTGTTGCGTTGCTGTGATTATATCGTGTTATTTCGGAGTCCCGTTTTGTCGTTTCGGAGTCTCATTGTAATTTATTTCGGGGTTGTCTTGTTCGTTGTTTTCGAACCGTTAGGTGTCGATTCCTATTCCGAGCAAACCCCATTTTTGTAAAGTTTTCGAACTCTGGAAAAAACTATTTTATTTTGAAAAATTTCAGTGAATTTAGCTGTTGAAACCTGTAGCTGAAATTCTGTCCAATCTGCTTAGCCGGCCTTGCATATTTCGCAGCTTTTGTTTCTGTTCAGTAGCAGGTTTTGTTCTAAACTTCAATTTATAAAGTTGCAATTTAGTCGCAAGCAGCTCGTGTAGCCCAGTGGT